GTCCTGGGCTTGTACACGCCACTTTTGCCCGAGTGGGAGTGAACTGTGGGGCAGGTGGTGCTGGGAGGCAGGTGCAGAATCTGTTCTCAAAAGTCACCATGTAAAATCTGTTTCCTCTGAAATGGTCAGACTGTCAGGCCTGAGGGCTTGTCTCCTTACATCCTACTTCCAGCATGCTACAGGCTGAAGTTTGGGTGATGGATGGCGAGTTAAGCAAAACAACAGACAGTCCCTTTGTGTGGCGGACACATCTGTACTGGTAGATTTGCTCATATATTAAATTTCCCTCCATCCTGCCTCCACTCCCTCACTTCACAGGAAATAAAAGGACCAATGGGCCAAAGCTCAAATCTCTCCTAAGCAGAGGGAATTCCGGGTGTCATGGTTTCCAGAAAGGGAACACAATCTCCCTATGGGGTGTAATTACATCTTAGCTTTCTGCAGAAGAATAGTTTATGGCTTAAATGCTATTAATTGCAAGCCGTTTTGTTCCACGGGAAGTTGTTCATTGATAACTACCCAATTAGGGTTATTTTGCAATTAGTCTATTCACAGTAAATTTATTGCAAAAGGGGGAGGCTGTGGTGCAGCAAATTAAAGCATTGCTGGGGCCGGGTGTGCGATGCCTCTTAAATGCCAATCTTATTAACCAGCTCAGAGGTCCCCAGAGGTCGTGCCACCTTGGCCCAGGCATCAAACACCTCAGGGCAGCCTCCAGCAAACTTTTGCTGCAAAACCACACTAGAGATATCTCAGCACAAGCAGGAAAGGGTGGCAAACTCTGGTTCATGGCAATGAGATATTGATTTTTTTATTCTTTTGCATAGTTGCAGAGCAGGTGTAATGGCAAATATATATGTAATGCACATCACTGACCTGGCATGGTTCTTAACTGTGTCATCAGCCCTCACAAACCCTCTGAGATAAGTGTGATCATGTTTACCTCCTCTTTCCAGGTGGAGACACCAGGGATACAGAGGTCAAGCAACCTGCCCAGATCCAGGAGTTTATGCAAGCGAGAACTGGGATTTGAATTCAGGGAGTCCAGCCTCATAGCCATGCTCCTATCTGCTGTCAACACTGACACCCTTGCTGCCCTACTAATGCCCTCTCTCCCCTTCTTAAAACCATACTGAGGACCGAGCAGGCACAGGTTTCAGGCAGGACGACTTCTAGGGGCCTGATAAGTGGAGTTAAGCTAAGACTTTTCCTCCTGAAGAGAAACAGACTTATGGGGATTCAGGTTTCATAACCTGAGTTCTAATACCAGCTCCACCAAGTGCTAGCCATGTGTTTCTGGCCAATGTCTAGGCCAGTGATGGTGAACCTTTAAACACTTTCAATGATATAACCAGCCTGCCGTGGCTTGTGTGTCATAGGCTCACCACCATTGACCTAATTCTTGGAACAAAATGAGTTCATAACAGACTTACTTTGCGTGGCTCACATGAGGGTTCAGTGTGATAAGAATGGTGGTGCACATGCTCCTACAGGTGGTCTCTGTCTGAGGATGTTTTAACTTTAGACGTTCCAACTTGACAATGATGTAAAAGTGAATTTGTATGACCCTCCTGTTCTTTGGTTTCAGTTCAATATTTGATCAATTACATGAGCTATTCAAAATGTTATTATAAAGCAGGCTTCGCATTAGATGAATTTGCCCAAGTCTAGGCTAATGTGAGTGTTTTGAGCATGCTGAATATAGGTTAGGCTAAGTTCTGATGTTTGCTAAGTGAGGTATATAAAATGCATTTCTGGCTTAATGGTATTAGGATAGATTTATCCGGATGTCACTCCATTATAAATTCAGGAACATGGGTATATAGTACTGGTAGTTAACAGGAGGAAGCAAACTATGGATTTCAGGGCCAAGTCTGATCCATGGGCTACATTTGCAAATTAAGTTTTATCAGAACACAGCTGAATGTACTTGTGTTTTAATTTGCACTACAACAACATGGTTCTGGAGTGAGTGGTGACAGACACTCTATGGCCACAAGGACTCAAATATTGGCTATTTGTCTCTTTGTTGTTATTTTCTTGGACAAGCATTCGACTCAGGCCTCTGAATCTTCTCTTTCAGGCTCTAGATAGTAAAAGATTTCGGAAAGGTCCTGTTCTACTTAGCTATTCCTGTATTCTGCAGTACACCAGGACCAAACAATAGCGTAGATGGAAGCCACCTGGATGGGTCAGGCCATGGTGATATTGAGAGATTTTCTTGCAAAATTTCTCTGTTGAAAAGAAAGTATGGCACAGATACAATGGGTACTCACAGCTCAGAATTAGGGAGAAACTTTATTAAAATGTTAAAGTTGTTAAAGTTGCCCCACTGGTGCACTGTCCCAGCAGAGGGGATAGGAGCAGGGTTTGCTGTGTCCCTCAGACTCTCTCTATTCACTCAGTGTGTGGGCAGCACCTGTCTGATCCAAAGCTCCTATCCTGTAACTAGGGGTAAACAGAGGCACATGAGTGTCCCTTGTATCACGGATGGCTGGTCCCAGGACCCCCAAGGATACAAATCCACAAATGGTCAAGTCTCTTATATAGCAGAGTGTAGTATCTGCATATAATCTATATACATCCTTCTGTATACTTTAAATCAATTCTAGATTACTTACATAATACCTTATACAGTACAAATGGTGCTATATTCCTTAAGGAATAATCAAATAACTATTATTCCCTATTATATAATAGACAATAGAATTATCTACTATATAATAGAATATCTACTATTATTCTATTATAGATGAGAAAATTTTTAAAAATATTTTCAATATACAGTTTGGTGAATACATGAGTGGGGAACACATGGATACAAAGGAGGACTATGTTTGAAATGAAGAAGCCGCTAACGTACTGGGACAGCTTACATAAATCTCTTCCCCCTTATAGGCCTCATACTGTCACTTGCCCAGGGAAGCAAGTAAACAAGTATTTCTATACTGGGTCTTTGAATCTACTTTTCCTAGGGAGTCCTATTCATCATGCACCTGTAGATGGGGCCTTCCACATCCAGAGAGACAGAGGATCCAGGATCTGCTATTTCAGGGGGTCACTGGGTCACCAGGCCTTGCCTGGTTGCTGAGTGCCCAGACCTGGGGAGAAGGGAAAGCCTCCTGTTTTGTGGCTGGCTTCTTGTACTCTCTGACCTCTGTCTTGACACTGAGGAGGCCCCATCAACCCCTGTCTGGGTCTGTGCTCCCATCTTCCCCATCCCCTAGGAGCTCTGTGTCATCTCTTCTTTTCAATGATAAATCTCGAATCTTTCCTCCCTTAGCAGCAAAACAACACGTTTGGTCTTTGACTTCAGAAGCAACAAGGAGGTGTTCTGAGCCTCTGGCTGCTTTGCAAAGGACAGTAGGGCCTGCTATGTCTTGCACTGGGGCCTGAGGACAATGGAGGGGACCAGGAGCTAACTGAAGTAGGCCCCAAAGGAAAGCTGAGTGAAAAGACGCCCTGAATACTTAATGCCTGCTACTCCCTAGATGAATAAAGAAGCCAGGACCAGAGGGGGCAAGGATTCTCTTCATCGGCAGGCAGCTGAATTCAAACTGAAATACACATCTCTTCATTCCAAACGTATCCCTCTCTGTTCCTAGTGGCACCCACTCTCTTTGTAGAAAAGTACCTTTTGGGTGCTATCTGCCCTTTCCACGGAGAAAGCCATCAGGCAAATGATTACAAATTGAGGAGATCTTCTCTAAGAAGAAATACAACTCAACAGTACTCTAGTGGTCAGCTTAGAGTCAGCCAGTGACAGGGGAGGGGACATCAGGCATACGCATTGAACAAGTCACTAATGCAGGTAGATGACAGAACATGAGGGTCTTTCCTACTCTGGGGTAGTTAGACGTGTTCTGCTGATACCTATGTATTTAGGAAAGAAGGAGGGATCGCAAGAAAATAAGACAATCCAGGATAGCACCTCTCCCCTGCATGTCTCAATGTGTAATCCAAGGTCACTTACAAATGACGTGACCTTGGAGAACTGCTTTTACATGGCTCATCTGAAAATACTTAGGCCTCTGACCTCTATGTCAACCTCACAGGTGAGGATGAGGATGTGCAGTGACCTGTGCACTGCCCTGCACACAGTGACACTCACTCAGCACCTGCTGTGGGTCATCCCTCCCATGAGCACCAGGGAAGGCCAAGGTCATCACCAAGGTCTCCATGGCATGGCATAGTTTTAGACGGGAGATAAACACATGTGATGCCCACCTGTGTAAGACTTGCCCCATTTTCTAGGGCCCCTCATCCCCAACCCCCATGATTCCTCCACTGAGCTCTGATCATGCCCTGCAATTCAGCAAGAGATCTGATTGAGCATTGGGCTATCTACACATAGGGCAGACAGGAGGGAGAAAAGATGGAAATAAGGAAGGAAAGAAATAAAGAAAGGACAGAAATAAGAAAAGATGAGAGGAAATGTGGGATGGATAGAGGAAGGAAGGAAGGAAGGAAGGAAGGAAGGAAGGAAGGAAAGGAAGAAGGGAGGGAGGGAGAGAGGGAAGGAGGGAGAAAGGAAGGAGGAGAGGGAAGAAGGAAGGAAGGGAGGAATGAAGGAAGAGGGAAATAGGGAAGGTTGTTCTTTCAGAGCCGTTAAAGTCCATGCAGCCCCCTGGAAGCCTTCCCAATCCTATCCTATCCAATCTCAGTCATGTCGATTCAAATCCTGATCCTCTGCTGACAGAGAGACCAAACCCTGTCAATACAGCCGCCTCACTCCTGCAACTTGCACATGAGCCCAGATTCCATCATAATTTTATCCTTTACCATGAAGGCAATGGGTGAAAGCACCAATAAAAATTAACATGAAACTTTTCTTATAGGGTACCTGGGAATTTACAGAGTACCCCCAACAAATCAGATCTTGTGTCCCAATCTGGGATTGGAGAAGTAGAGCAACTGTCCTCTATCTTAGATGTCTTAGAACATCTAAAAATGGACCAGAATGGGGCTAGGTGGGAAGAGGAAGTAGGGCTGGAACTTACCCTCAAGGGGGCAGAACCGAGTCACCTTCTCAGGCATCAGCAGCCCCAGCTTGTGGCGGCAGTAGGTCTCCCCAATCTCCTGGCGGCAGTGCTTGGACTTAGAGCGAGACAGGGCAGAGATGGCCTCCTTGCCCGAGATGTCACACTTGGGTGGCTGCTCAGACTTGGTCTCGGGAGCGCTGCCACCACTCTTCCTGGAGTGGGGCTGTCTGGGTGCATCCTTCCCATGGCTGCTGTTGGCGGCAGGCCTCTCGCCAGGAGGTAGCACCTCACTGGGGCCCTTCCCTAGGACAGAATGTCCCTGCCCTTTGTCCTGTGGCTCTATCTTCCTCTGCAAACGCTGCTTCTGTCCACTTGGCGGCTTCTTTGCTGACTCTGGCTGATGTTTTTGCTTTTGAGTCCGGGGTGCAAAGTTGCTGTTGTCAACATTCTCAAAATCCTTGGGGACTGAGTTCTCATTGTTGCTGTCTGTACGCAGTTTTTCTTTGGGTCGGTGAGAGAAGTAGCCATCCTGGAGAGCACAGGGAAGAAATGCAGAAGACTGAGACTGAGCCATCATGCTAAATAAGAAAGTTGGCCTTTGGGGGCCTCGGGTGGCGGACACACAGCTTTGGAAGTCTGAGCTAAATCTTCCTATTTATTCACCTTTGCTATTGGCTTAAATTCTAGACTTTTCTCTGGATATATTTCCCCATCTGGACATATGAGATGTTTCCACTAGGAGCTAAGTTTTCCCCAAGCTCTCAATGACTAGCACTGTTACTATGATTCTCAACACTTCATGTCAGTTTCTTTCCTTCACCAGAAATCTCTAACATTGGGTAACAAATACTTTGTTCCAGATTCCTGTTTGAATTCCAGCAGAAAGTGCTGTGATAGTTTATTGAAGGCCTGGAAATGACATAATAAAGTTATAAAGGGAGGAAATATGGGTAGGATATTATATACATCCCATTGCCTTTAGGACATATTCATATATCTATATCTACAGGGAAACCAGACTTGAGCCATGGACAGTTCTGCAGCAAACACAGCACTGGTTTTATTCTTTTTCAGGGGAAGGGGGAGGCAGTCTGTGCAGAATGAAGCTCACAGTGGGTCCCAGGAGGGAGCAACCTGTGATACTCTCATGTTTGAGCTTTAGCTTTTCATGTTGGGACTTGGAATAAAACTTATTAAGTCACTGGAGGTAAAGAGAAAGGTCAGAAGTCACCAGAGACTATGCATGGCTTGGAGCTTTTCCAAAAGGTGGAACCCCACACTCAGCTCCAGCATGGGTTACCAGATCCTGATAATTCTGAGTTCAGATCAAATTGCCCTGAATCATTTCTGAAACATATTACTTTACTTTAAACCTCGCTCCCAAGACTTTAACCTGAAAAGTATCCACCATCCAAGAGCACACTCCTAGAGGGAACTCAAGGCACAGAGAACACAACTGGCTCCATAAATCTGCCTTTTGCTGCGGAGGCACACTGTTGATGAGTAGCACCACTGTTACTTTTATTTTTCAAGGGCACTGAAACGTGCCTCTTAACAGTTCCCAAGGAAGAATGCAGAGATGAACAGTGTAGCTGTGCTGGTCCCAGGCAGCCAACAACACATCAATGCTCTGACTCCAACAGGTCAACAAACTACAGCCCTTGCCCCAAACCTGACCCATGCTCTGTTTTTATAAATAAAGTTGTATTGAAATACAGCCATACCTCTTTGCTTATGTATTATCTGTGGCTGTATCCTGCTACAACTACATAATGAGTAATTGTGAAGCAGATTCGCTGTCTGAAACATGGCCTGTGGAACATAAAATATTTCTATGTGGCCCTTCAGGAAAAGTATGCAGACCCCTGTTCTATAAGAGTGGGTGTAAAAGGGCCACCTCCTCTGGAGCTGATTCAGTTGTACTTTTCTCATGGTCCCCATTTGGCTCAGATGTGGCTGGAGAAGAAGCCAAAAATATGCCCCCCGAACCTGTCTAGCTTCTACTCATCTCCCCTGGCAGTAAGCACCAATTTCTCCTAATGGTGAAACCCATGAGAATAACAAGTAACATTAAGATACCTTGTCATGACTCTATGAGTTAGGTTTTATTATTATTCTTATTTTACAGATGAAGAACTAAGTATCTTTTAACAAGTGACCTGCCCAAGGTAATCCAATCAGACCAGACAGACCACAGATGTCGTGCTCTGGGCTTCCAGGTACAATATCAACTTCCAAGAAACCACAGAACACATTTTTTAACATCAGCCTGTGCTCTTAAGTTCTGTATCTTGACTTTGTACCATAAGATGTGGCCCTTTTCCCATCTTCCCCACTCAGCTAAATAGGTTTACCATCAGCATGTGATCCCCGAGCACAGATCTCAAGGTGCCCAGTGGCCTACTGTGTTACGGTTGACATGGAAAGAAAGTGGACAGAAGGTAAGGAGGGGCCAGCATAGAACAACAGAAGACAGGGGCTGGAAGGCAACAAGGCAGAAAAAGGAAAAGAGCCAAGAAGTGAGGGCTGAGACCTTCTGGGGTCTTAGGATGGCTCAGCTGCTATTACAGTTCCAGGACCCGTGGAAAAACCCAATATCCACAGGCACGCAAGTCTCTTATATAAAATGACATTGTTTTGCATAGAACTTACCTAAATTCTCAAATCCTGTGTACTTGAAATTATCTCTAGATTAATAATAATATTTTATAAGCTGTTGGTTCAGGGAATAATGAGATGAACAATGTTCAGCACACAGTTGTGTTTTTTTCCTTAAGATTTTCAGTCGTGGTTGGTTGAATCAATGGAGGAGCACCGTGGATGTGGGGGGCCCAGCATCCACCCTGCCCTGTGAGTCAAAGGACCTTCCTGTCTGCCCTTTCTAATCTTCCCACAGAGATATGTGATATCTCTAAGAGGTTGCTCAGAGGGCTTTCTGCTCCTGGATGCTAAAGACGCCCTGCTGATATTCTTTTTCCCCTCCTTTTTATCCAGAGACACTTGAAAACACCAAGTATCAGAAGTAGCCTCCGAGATTCATTTTCTGAGCACTTACCACAAGCCAGGCACCGTGTACTACTCAATGGACACTGACAATTGCTCTGGAAGGAGGAGCTCTTCTCATCTCTCACAGAGCACACAGCCTTGGCTTGTTGCTATGACTTCTCCAGTATGCACGTGTACCAGGCACTGTGCTCAGCCCTTAGTGTACTGTCTCGCTAACTCCAGAAAGAACTTCCAAGGAAATTATTACTGTTCTTCCATCACATAAAAGGGAGACAGAAAAGAAGTTGGGGATGTTAAGTAATTTGGCCAAAGACATCTGTAGGAGGCAATGAATGTGCACCTGTCTGGTTCTAAAACTTGCTAGTTTTAGAGTCCCCGCTGTTTGAGAGATAGCCAAGAAGCAGTTAGCTCTTCCTCCATGTGAGGAGTGGAAAGAAATCTTCCTCTCTGCATATTAGCCCTGTGTACAGATGGAGCTGGAAGGTGCAAGGGTGGTATTCAATTATAGTTCTTCACAAATATTCAGCTTCCTTCTTTCTAGGCACATGATAGGAGCACATGTCCCCATTTCCTGCAAATTAGACACAGTCAAACTACTTACCCAGACAAGACCAATGGCTGGAGTCAGGACACATGGTGTCATATCCTCTACTCTTGGCATACTATTCAGCCCACAGGCCCAGATGCTAAAGGCTTGGTCACTAGCCTATGGCATTACTGGGAGACGGGAAGTGGTAGAACTTTGAGGAGGTGGAGCCAGTAGGAGGAAGTTAGGTCACCGGGGGATGGCTCCTGAAGGCGATACTGGGACCCTGGCTCTTCTCTCTCTCAACTAACCATGGACTGACACCTCTGAAACCATAAGCCAAAGTAAGCATTTTCTCCTTTAAGTTGTTTATCTCAGGTACTTTGTTACAGTGCCAGAAAGCTGACCCAGCAGCCTCACTCACTCTGCTGGTGAAGATCCTGTCTCCCTGAGGGAAACTGGTATGGAGCAGATGCCCCCAAACCTCAGTGAGCAAAATCAACCCTCACTACTTAAAGTCACTGAATGTGCTGGCTCTGCTACTGCAGCGCAGTCTAGCTTATCTAAATAAATACAGAAGTTAACTTGACTGCTCCTCCTCCCAGCAAGCCAAACCTGTTCTGTTCCCTATACACAAACAAATGTGGGCAGTTTCCAGCTGATCCATACAAGATGCCCAGCATCTACAAGCCTCCATGCTCTGGTTATTCACACAGTCTTTTGGGAAATGCAGTGAAGGAAAAAGTATGAGTCTAATTATGAGGAGGAAACTAAAGCAGAGAGAGGTTAAACAACCAAGGTCACACCACTGTTTAATGAAGACTCAAATTCTGTGTCTCAGTTTCCTCATCTGGAACGTGGGGATGTAATATTTACCTCATGGGTATTTTGGTGAGGGTGAATGTACGTGAAACTTCTGGAACATGCCTGCCACCCAAAGCAGAAGGAAAAATCAGCAATAAATCCAACTGCTACCTAACAACCTCCCTCAGGGAGACAGGATCTTCACCATCAGGAGTGAGTGAGACTGCTGGGTCAGCTTTCTGGCACTGTAACAAAGTACCTGAGATAAACAACTTAAAGGAGGAAAGGCTTACTCTGGCTCATGGTTTCAGAGGTGTCAATCCATGGTTGGTTGAGAGAGAGAAGAGCCAGGGTCCCAATATTCCCTTCAGGAGCCATCCCCCAGTGACCTAACTTCCTCCTACACTAAACACTGGGCCTCAGCTCTCTCCCCCCTGGTGGTTTCCACCTGGAGTACAGATTGGTTATCACCTCTCCTATGACTAAGTAGCTATGTCCCCTTTATTCTTAACCAATCCAACTCTCTCACCTTGGGTTATTTATGCAAATGCAACCCTTTGACTTATTTTATTTTAACGTACTTATTACAATGATTGCACATTCAAATGTTTGCATGTGAGCTCCAAAACTCTAATTGCTCTGCTGTTGCTTTACCTTGAAGCTGTTGCTGGAATCCATTTTTGTTCTGGAGAAATAATTAAATACAATAATGTCCTCCATTCTCATTCAACCTTGGGCATGTTTAGAGCCAATTTCAATCAGGTAGCAATGTGCTAAACACAGTAAGGATCCAAGAGGCAGGTTACATGACCTAGGCCGCTCTTACCCAAACCCCTGGGTCTGCTTCTGTTTTTCTTGAGTTCTCTAATGTTCACACTTAGGGATGGATTTCTGTACAGACTACTGAACACCAGTGCCTGGATCCTGTTTCTGAGAGAGAAGGGAGAGTTACTATATTTTTTAAACTATCCACTTGCACATAAGCCTTTGCTCTTACTGTTTTTGTAGGCACTCTGGGCACAGAAAGGGAAGGCCCAGGTTCTTGACTTGCTTTAGTAATGTCTCATTTTCCCTTCTGTAAAAGGACGGGTCCTGCATGTGTGTTCCTAAACATTCTCTGAATTAGTCACCAATCAGTATGATTGACTAAAAGAGTTCTGGCATTTCAGCTCGTTGAAAACAATCTAATAGAC